CTACAAATATTAGATTTATCCACTTATTAAAATGCAAAATTTTAACTGGTGACAAGGCTGGTCAGATTGTTTTTTTGAATAGAATTAATTTAAATTGTAAAAACGATTATCCATTCGCTTTTAAACGAAGACAATTCCCCGTTAAACTTGCATTTGCTATGACTATTAACAAAGCTCAAGGGCAAACTTTTTCAAAGGTAGTTATTGATTTACGTCGTGATGTTTTTAGTCATGGACAATTATATGTTGCATTTTCCCGAGTTAGATCATGGGACTCTATTAAAATATTTATTGGTAATGAACCGCATCGACTAAAAGTTAAAAATTATGTGTACACAGAATTATTTCGAGAAAATCAATAACATTTTTTAATTATAGCTTTTTAGTTTGTAATAGATTATTACTTATTGCATATTGGTCTCTATCTCTAAAGTTTTTTTTAATAATTTTGTATAAAATTACATCAAATCTATGAAAAATAGCCTGAGAAAATGCGCTTATTGACTTCTAGTATAATAAATTTTATAAATGTATGTACATTTGCACTTATTTTTTTTTATAAAATGTCTCATGGCACCTCCCTGCTAAAAATGTTCTATTGAAAGTTATTAAAAAATGATAATTTTTTTTAATCGTGAATTTGTATCCCACATAATCTAACTGAAAACAATTAAAAATCGCGACAGGAAAGCAAAATAATTGAAAATTATTCAAATCGATATAATTGATTAAGATTCAAGATTATTAAATTCAATAATAATTAAAATCTTTCAATCTCAAATTTTCTTATAAAATTATTTATATTTAATAAAATTCAATGAATAATTATTGTGGCAATATTAAATTTATTTCAATCGCATATTCTGGTATACAGATTCACGAATATAAATTATTTGAATTTCTGTACTATTTTCAAATAATATTCAATACCATTTAAATCATGATTATGGTATTGAATATTATTTAATTATCGTAACAAATAATATTCAACACCATTGATTCTTTTTAATAGAAAAAAAGACCAATTATTAATCATTTTTAATACTCACATTTAATTTTAAAAACTTTAATTACCTATTGAAGTGAATCATTTTTAATTACTTTTAATATGAATATTTTCCGCGGCGTTAAAAAAAAACCTATACTTTTTAAGAAGCTTGTGCTTTGGACCTTTGGAGCTTTGAATCAAACAAAATGACTTATTTTTAAACGAAACATTGATTTTTTCATTAACTTAGGGTCTTAACATCCTGACATTCACTGGACGTTGGTTTAATTGTGTGGGAAATCATCAGTTATAATTTTTGATGATTAAATTATAAATTTTCTGAGATATGAAAATTTGTCTGTAAAAATGATGTCTTTTTCCGTTGAATTCTGTGGTAGACAACTTCAGTTATTGAGATACATACATATTACACACACACGCACATACAGGCGTTTCTTAAAAATGATTGTACGAACAAATTCTACGTTCGGATTCAAACTCTATGCAACAAATTAATTCAGAAATGATCCCCGTTTGGCCAAGAACAAAACAATATGGTGTTTCATTGGGAAATGTTAAAAGAAATAACAAACTATTCGATTTATAAATGTTATTAAAACTGAAGTACCAATATTTATTGGAATATATTAATAATTATTCGATTAGGTGTGATCAAATATTATATTTAATTGGAAAATATTGAAAGATATTAAAAAAAATTAAATCAAATGTTATTAAATTAGTTTTCACTGAAAGCACTATTAAAAATGATTCAAAAAGATTAAAATTAATCCTTAATTTTCGCATTATTTGTGATTAGAATTTAATTGTATTAAACATTATTCAATTTTAATTCTTGACAGGATTGGGAGTCAATCATTTCATAGAAAATCATTGAAAATGATTTAAGGTTAATCCATTTTTATAATTTTCAACGATTCATTTTTAGCAGGGCTCTGACACTTCCTTCATTGTTATTGTTATGCTGTACAGTGTAATCCAACTTGTCATCTAAAGCATCTTGCTCTGTTGTTTCTTCACATAGATAGTAAATTAGCTCTAGATTCAGTTAGACGGATAAGAGCTTCTAATTGTCAATTACATGGGGCAAGATTTGCTGCTGCATTCATTGTTGCAAAATTTACATATTTTTAAATTATTATATATCTTGAGGGAATTGCATAAATTATTAGCAAGAAAGAAGATAATCTTTAAGTTATTCTAACTTACAATCTTATACACATACCAAACTGATGGTAAAATCATGAAAAGAAAAGTATTTCCATTAATTTAAATAATGATGATTTATTTATTTGATTTAATGTATTTCATTTTAGCCATTGAGAGTTGAATGTTAATTTGAACTGATATCTGTTTCTCTCTAAATTGTTTTTTCAAATGCTTTTAAAAACTCATGGATATACTTGTATATGTTGTAACAGGCTGTCGCTGAGTCGATAATCTCTAGAAAATACCTTTATTACGACTAGACGAAGCCTTGTTATCTCTGTGCTTAAAGCACAGTAACCTACCTTGTCTCGGAGTGCGCCTGCGCAGAGTCTCTTACTATTCCGAGTTGGGTTCCCCCAACTCACCGCTTGGCGGCGCTGTCGCCCCTTGCTAGTAGCGCTCGTGCGGCCGCCGCTGGAACTTGAGTTGTCGATTCGCGTCTCTCGGTATTCGCACGATTCGTGCTACGCAACCGGCGAATTCGAATCCACTGAAAATAAACACTGACGCGACCTCCGGACAAAGGAAAGACTAAATAACCGAAACTCGTTTAAATAAAAATAATGATTGATTTATTCAACTAAATCAATGACACGGGGAATCCGCCGAGAGACTTACGCACGCTCGCGTGGATGACAAGACACGCTAAAATTGAGAGAGAGAGAAAACCGCGATTACCGCGAACTACCTGCTCACACGCAACAAATAAATTCTTCGCGCTCGCTGCGCAGATTCGCACGCTAATTGTAACAACAATTAAAAAGGGGAAGAGGTGCACCTACCGCGAGAACGATGAGGATACGGTGGCCAACCGTATCCGACTAGCAAATCGCTGAAAAGCCGCTTCGCTGCTCGCCGCACCACCGAAATTACTGCTGTTGTTGTTGTTGCTGCTGCGGTTGCTTCTGTTGCTGCTATAGCTGCTACTGCTGTTGCTGCTGTTGCTGCTGTTGCTGCTACTGCTGCTATTGCTGCTGTTGCTGCTATTGGCACACCACCAAACACAAAACTCGGCTCGGGAACAGGTTAGCGCGACGCACTGACTGAGTGACACAGTCATACTGCCGGTCGGAGCCTCCCCTCCCGGTCATTGCCCCTACGCTCTCTCTCTCTCGTGCTCTCGCTCTCGCTCGCTCTTAATCCAGTACGCGGATCTAAACGATTTTCGATAATCGTTGCAATGTTTATTATTACTGTTAATCACTGCTTCTATCCGATACTTTGAGACAATCTGACAGATCAAGATATTGTAAGAAAGAGAAATAAGTTGTAATTCTGTCAACACACCAGTTTTTTATTTCTCTATATCTAGCAAAACTTATTTCTAAAAAATTTAATGACTAGCCGTATAGATAGTACAAATTTAATGGAAAATCTTTTTGTGTTTATTAGAAAACTTCAGCTTTCCAATGAAAGGGAAGATCGTTTTTACATTATTTCTAAGACAATAATCTCAGGGTTTTAATCAACCTCAAGGGAGGAAATGTTTGCCGTAGAGCTTTTTCTAAAAAAGTGAATTTGTAAACTATGCACTTATCATAAAACCATAAATACAGTATAAATAAAGTATATAATTGGTAATTAAAATACTTATGAAAAAAGCATAAATAATGTATACTTTTAATAAACATTTAATCTAATTCATTTAGATTAATTATAAATGAAATACAAAGTGTATAAATTATATATAAATGAAAATTGTCAACGTATTTGATGATAAAGGTTGTGCCAATAAAATAATATATTCCTTATCATGACAGATTCGAAGTTTTTGTCAATAAAATTATTGAAAAATCTTAAATTATCTTAAATTATAAAAAGAAAATTGACTTACTATTAGCTGCAATTATTTTGCAGTTTTGAACAACATTTGTTGCCTCAATCATAAAGGAGCATATGGAACGCCTTTTTTTTAAAAATTTTGATTTTAGAACCACATAAGAATTATTTGGTTCTAATTGTACGAGGCTAAACATATTTTTTACATAAATTTTGTTCTGTCACTTCACATGAAATAAAATTTCTCAAATTCATAATAAGTAAAAGTTGAGGAAGGAAAATCCGAATGTATATACGATGATGTGATGTTATAATTCCTAATTATTGATTGTATACACAATCATCTTTCAATCAGTTTGGCCGATTGCGCATAGAAATCTGTTTAAATATCTTCAGTTTAAATAAATTTCTTAAATTTATTTATATTCATACAAATTAATTTAAATTCTTTAGATACGAAACATGTGACATCACTTATTCATCCTCGTACGGATATGTGACAAAAGACTTGGAACAATTCTTATGTAGACAGTCCGCGTAAGTGCTGCTTCTTGAGCAATTTTGCAACTACACTTAGGTAGACGTCCACATAACTCGGACTTTCGTCCACCTAAGTCAATGAGGATTGTGATTATCGTCCGCACAAATGACTCCCAATATACATATATATATATATATATATATATATCGCTATTGGTCACTTTGGGGATATTTTTTTTTTCCATATATAGTACTTCCAATATCATAGATAGATTTGTCGCTATTTGAAAATTACTGCAAATTAAGTCGTTATCAATATATGTAGATACTAATGTAATATATTAATACTTTTATTTCATGTCACTTCGAGGATTTCAATATTCTTGAATATCCTTAAGATGGCTGTGCATGTGACAGAATGACGTGTCTTTTTGGAGGTGTCAGAATCGTTCTGTAATCACCCTTAGATTATTACATTTTTTTTCCATCCATAAAAATAAAATTTTGTGGGAACGAACGGAGTTTGAGGTATAACCTATGAAAGATCAAAGAGTTTTGTTACTCCTGAGATTACTCATACATTATTGATAAAAAACTCGTTATCGCTTTAAAAATTAATTGTTAAAATTAAGCTGTCAAATGTAATCTATAATAATGTCTAATTACGACTCAAACAATTTAGAGTAATTAGAGTAATTAGAGTATTGTTAAATTTTTATTTTACAATCAAATTTTTGTTTTAAAGTATTAATTTTCCAAATGTTTGAAAGTCAATTGGCAAGCGAATTACCTAAAAAAATAGGTATAAATTGTATTTCGCTGATGGAAATAGACGATCTAATGAAATTTATTATTTTGGATCCATACATGGGATGTTCAACACGTAAAATGCTCCCATTGAAAAGTTTTATCTTAGAAAATAAGATTAATAATGAAATGATTATCTCCAAACAAAAGTTGTTACCTAAAGAAAAATTACATGAAGTTGAAGATGCACTGAAAAATTTTCTGAATGAGCAAAATTTATATTACACTTTTAATATTAAATACAGATCATGGGTTAATGTACCAATGAGATTTTATCTTGAAACAATTACTATTGAATCACCAGTGAGCATTGAGCTGTGTAATAGATATAATGAAAAAATTGGTTTAAAAATTTCAGCTAAAGTAAATATAAGCAACAACGTAAAAATAAGATGTTTGTCAGGCATTTATAAACAAATGAGTATGCAACGGGAACAAATACTAGCAGAGAGAAATTTAAATTTCTCAGTTATAGAGAGTTCAAGAATAAAAGCACCAGTATTGATGTTGGGTACTGCAGCTTTAGTAAACCACGATTGTGATCCAAATTGTATATATTTTACGACATCTAAGAGTGTAATTATAATTTTAACAATAAAAAATATTAGAAGAGGGGATGAGTTGTATTGCTATTATGGCAAAAACTATTTTGGCCCAAACAATGAACAATGTAAATGCAAGACTTGTGAGAAAAATAAGAATGGTTTTTTTAAACAAGGTGAGTATGATATTAAAACTTTTTGAATTTATCAATATTAGCAATATTTTAATATTAGCAAATATAATCCAATTTTAATATTAGCAAATATAATCCAATTTTAATATTAGCAAATATAATCCATATGTTCAATTTCGTATAACTATTAAATTAGATTCTAATTGATGTTTTATCATGTTTGGAATATTCTATAGTTATTGATAAAGAATCTAACGGCACTTCAACTTCTCAAAGCTTCAATTTGTCCAATGGTAGTATGGGTGCAGTCCCTAATCTTGAGGATTGTTCAATAGAATCAGGGCACTCTAGTAAACTTGCAGCATCATATAAAAGTTCAAGTTCAAAGTCAAATGAAAATTTGCCTCTATTTGATCAAAATTCTGGTAAGAATATTTTTATATGTATGCACATAAGTATGAATATTTTTTACTCAAATCAATTTTGCAAAATTTAGAACTATTGTAAAAAAATTTCATGGTACTCTAAATTTTTATAAATTGTTTACAATAATTTTTTATCAAATTACTCAGTTACAATAAGAGATGACAGTTCCTATAATACTGATGCTTTGAAAGAAATTTTATCATCACCGAACAAAACTAAATTTAATAAAAAGGAATTTGTTTTTGAAGACTCTATTACAATTTCAAAATTTTCAGATGGTATAGTATATGTTCCATTGATATCTATTTTACACTGTAGTATAAATTAAAAACTTAAAATTTAGATTGTATATTTAAATTACAATAATCTAGATTCATATGAAGAATTTTATGGGTTTTCAAATTATTTAAAATTAGACAAAAAAATTGCTTATGCATACGTCAAGTTGGAGATACTCAATTCATCAATTATTCAGTACTACCAAGTGAAAAACATAGAAAGATATTCATTCTGTTTATACTGTGAAAAATTTTTAACTCATTTTGCTAGACACTTAATGATGGCTCATAAGAATAAAGATATTGTAATAAAATTTCTAAAAGATGATAATGAACTGAAGTATCCAGCTATTAATTTTTTACGTAACCAAGGGCTTGCTCACTACCAGCAATTGACAGGTATTATAATTCCAGTTATGAAAGTGAGAAAAGACGCAGTGCACAAAGTTGAAAAAGTACAGTGTAATACTTGTTATGGCTATTTTTCAAAGAAAACCTTGTGGAGGCATCAACAGTTATGCAAAAATTTTATATCCTCTATTCGATCAAAGTTCTGGTAAAAATATTTTTGTATACATGCACATACGTATGAATATTTTTTACTCAAATCAATTTTGAAAAATTTAGAAATGTTGTAAAAAAATTTCATGGTACTCAAAATTTTCAGAATTGTAATTTTGTTTATTTTTTTCAAATTTGTTTCACAGAAGCAGTACACTTCAAAAAACTGGAGCATTCATGTGACAATTTAAGAACAAATTCCAATGAAAATCTATGTCTCTCCAATGACTTTGTAAGAAACTTTTTGTATAGAAACATATATATTTTGGTAAATAATTATTAAAATGTTTACAATATTTTTTTATCAAATTACTCAGTTACAATAAGGGATGACATTCTTACAATACCGATGCTTTGAAAGTAATTTTATTATCATCGAACAAAACTAAATTCAATAAAAAGGAATTTGTTTTTGAAGACTATTACAATTTCAAAATTTTCAGATGGTATAGTATATGTTCAATTGATATATATTTTACACTGTAGTATAAATTCAAAAATTAAAATTTAAATTCTGTATTTAAATTACAATATTCTAGATTCATATAAAGAATTTTATGGGTTTCCAAATTATTTAAAATTAGACAAAAAAATTGCTTATGCATAAGTTGGAGATGCTTGATTCATCAATTATTCAGTACTACTCTACCAAGTGAAAAGCAGAAGGATATTCATTCTATTTATACTGTGAAAAATTTATAACCCATTTTGCTAGACACTTAATGATGGCTCATAATGATAAAGATATTGTAATAAAATTTCTAAAAGATGATAATGAACCGAAGTATCCAGCTATTAATTTTTTACGTAACCAAGGGCTTGCTCACTCCAGCAATTGACAGAGATTATAATTCTTGTGCAAGCATCAGCAGTTATGCAAAAATTTTATAATATTTATTTGTTATTTATAAATTTTACTATCAATAAATTATAATTTCATTTTTTAAAATACAACTATCAATTATCAATATTGTACTTTTGTAACCATGTTTATCTTTATAGTAATATTAATTCCTAAGCTTATATAAAACTACTTAAAAAAAAGCTTCATAAAATCATTTAAATAACTTTATTATATTTAAAAATAATACATTTGATATGTATGTTGTACATAAATTTTATAGCAACAAAATTTTTAAAAGTAGATAGTGAACTAAAGTATTCAGCTTTTAATTTTTTACGTAATCAAGGTCTTGCTCATTACCAGCAATTGATAGGAACTATAATTTCAAGTATCAATTTTTCAACTCTTCTAATCATATACATCTTTATAGTTCGCCTTTTTATTTGACTATTATTTACTACCTTATTTGACTTCTTATATCTATATTAGACAAAATAGTGTACGATGTGAATCTTATAGCTTTGTTTTTAATTGAATGATTTGATCTTTGAGCTTAAGGATACTTTATAATAATAATTAAATCACATTTGTTGTCCTTAACACATAAGTTTTATCACAAAGTTACATTAATTAAGTATTTATAAGAGTAGAATTTTAAGCTTTTTTATATAGAGTTTTTGTTAAGATTAAGATTAACAAAGATAAGTTATCATTTTTTAATAGTAGAAACAAAATATAAAATTAAACTAACTATTAAATATAGTTACTTTTCTTTTTTGATTTGCAAAAATCTTTACAAAAATGTGTAAAACATAATTAAACTGTTAAAACACATAATATCTTCTTATTTTCAAGTACTTCCGTTGAAAATTAGAAAATTGCATAACATATATTTATTATTCTAAATAGAAGTAATCAAAGTCTTACTTTGATACCATATACATAAATAAAGTTAAATCACATTAACAATATCAAATAGATAACTTTCGATAAATAGAAAATTTTAATGAATGTGAATACAAATCAAATGACTATCTTACAAACTTTGCCTGCGAATCGCAGTCTCAACCCAATTTTGAATATTCTGAACAGTTACATTTGCTTTAGAAGGGGAATTACCAATAAATTTTGCACATGTCTTGATCGATGGTATCTTATCAGCCTTAATATATTTGGCAAATCCTCCATATATTCATTTTGGTACACTATTCCTTTCTGGTACATTTAGTTTAGTTTTTTTTTCTATTTCTTTGTGTGTGAATCCATGATCTAATCTGTGGTTCGGTTCTTTGCCTCAAAATTTTATCTTCTGTTGTTCCTATTAATGTTTCAATTGAAGCAGCACTTGGTACCTTGGTATCAAGTTCAAGAGCATTTGGAAAATATGCTAACAGGTTGTTGATTGATTTTTTGGTCCATGCTACTTTTTTTTGACCTTTAGAAACTACAATGTTTATATAAAAAAACTATTAGTACCTTAATATTATAAAATTAACACATTATTTATTTCATTATTGATTAAAAATTTTATAGAAATAAAAAAGATACTTACCAATGGATTCTGCTTTAGTTTTTAGTCGTGAAAATCCGGTCTACGATTACTTTACCAACAAGTAAAGCTAAAACGAAGAAGTAGATTGATCAGATATACCGAACATGAAACCGCAAACTTCCTGCGAAGGTCTAATCGCTCATGTATGCCAATTATCCATTATAACCCAAATCCACACCATAGTTGCAAGGGTCGCGAAAATCCGGTCTACGATTACTTGGCCAGCGAGTAGAGCTAAAACGGAGTGGTAGATGAATCTGATATATTTTAAATAAAGCCGTAATCTTCCTTAGAAAGTCTACACTCTCATGTATGCCAATAATCCATTATAACCCAGAATTCGATATAAGAAGCATGTGTCGTGAAAATCCGGTCTACGATTACTTGGCAAACGAGTAGAGCTAAAACGGAGTGGTAGATTGATCTCATATACTTTAAATAAAGCCGTAATCTTCCTTAGAAAGTCTACACTCTCATGTATGCCAATGATCCATTATAATCCAGAATTCGACGAAAGATGCGTGTGGCGTGAAAATCCGGTCTACGATTACTTGGCAAACGAGTAGAGCTAAAACGGAGTGGTAGATTGATCTTATATACTTTAAATAAAGCCGTAATCTTCCTTAGAAGGTCTACACACTCATGTATGCCAATGATCCATTATAATCCAGAATTCGACGAAAGATGCGTGTGGCGTGAAAATCCGGTCTACGATTACTTGGCCAACGAGTAGAGCTAAAACAGAGTGGTAGATTGATCTCATATACTTTAAATAAAGCCGTAATTTTCCTTAGAAGGTCTATACTCTCATATATGCCAATTATCCATTATAACCCAGAATTCGACGAAAGATGCGTGTGGCGTGAAAATCCGGTCTACGATTACTTGGCCGAGGTGTTGAGTTAAAACGGTCAGGTAGTTTGATCTCATATATTTTAAATAAAGCTGTAGTCTTCCTTAGAAGGTCTACACACTCATGTATGCCAATGATCCATTATAATCCAGAATTCGACGAAAGATGCGTGTGGCGTGAAAATCCGGTCTACGATTACTTGGCAAACGAGTAGAGCTAAAACGGAGTGGTAGATTGATCTCATATACTTTAAATAAAGCCGTAATCTTCCTTAGAAAGTCTACACTCTCATGTATGCCAATGATCCATTATAACCCAGAATTCGATATAAGAAGCATGTGTCGTGAAAATCCGGTCTACGATTACTTGGCAAACGAGTAGAGCTAAAACGGAGTGGTAGATTGATCTCATATACTTTAAATAAAGCCGTAATCTTCCTTAGAAAGTCTACACTCTCATGTATGCCAATGATCCATTATAATCCAGAATTCGACGAAAGATGCGTGTGGCGTGAAAATCCGGTCTACGATTACTTGGCAAACGAGTAGAGCTAAAACGGAGTGGTAGATTGATCTTATATACTTTAAATAAAGCCGTAATCTTCCTTAGAAGGTCTACACACTCATGTATGCCAATGATCCATTATAATCCAGAATTCGACGAAAGATGCGTGTGGCGTGAAAATCCGGTCTACGATTACTTGGCCAACGAGTAGAGCTAAAACAGAGTGGTAGATTGATCTCATATACTTTAAATAAAGCCGTAATTTTCCTTAGAAGGTCTATACTCTCATATATGCCAATTATCCATTATAACCCAGAATTCGACGAAAGATGCGTGTGGCGTGAAAATCCGGTCTACGATTACTTGGCCGAGGTGTTGAGTTAAAACGGTCAGGTAGTTTGATCTCATATATTTTAAATAAAGCTGTAGTCTTCCTTAGAAAGTCTAAACTCTCATGTATGCCAATGATCCATTATAACCCAAATCCACACCATAGTTGCAAGGGTCGTGAAAATCCGGTCTACGATTACTTGGCCAACGAGTAGAGCTAAAACGGAGTGGTAGATTGATCTCATATACTTTAAATAAAGCCGTAATCTTCCTTAGAAGGTCTACACTCTCATGTATGCCAATAATCCATTATAATCCAGAATTCGACGAAAGATGCGTGTGTCGTGAAAATCCGGTCTACGATTACTTGGCAAACGAGTAGAGCTAAAACGGAGTGGTTGATTGA